TAAAATCCAGTCCTCCTGCTAAAAAAAAAAAACACACATTCAATTTATATTATATATTTGTTAATTGAGCCAATCTCACTCGACGTCTTAACTTTTAACATTAGGATCTCTTAATATTTTGTAAGATTTTTACCAATTATACGTTACATGAACAGTTCATCTTATGCTTCTCAGTACAGGTTGTGCAAGTTATGGGATGGTCTTAAAATGTCTATTGGCACTGACTTATGAGATATGTCTATTATTAAACCCCCTGTCATTTCTAATTTCATAACGAGTTATGTTTCTTCTATCGTATCAACAAAACAATCAAAGTTGTATGCACAAATATAAACCAAAATTATTTAGCCCACAACTTCCTTAAATGGACTTTCTTATTAAGTTTATTGGGCTGTATATTGGTTATGTAAATTTACTATAGAATAATATATTTTATCTTTTTCCATTAAAAAAATACAATTTCTAAAGATAATTTTTATAAAATTATTGACTTCAATAAAATTTTATGTTTTATAACTTATTACACATTTTAGTGGTTTAAATATTAGTTTGAAATTCTTTTTTTTTTTTTTATAAAAAATCAAATTTGAACATACTAAAAAATTCAAATTATATAAAATTAAGGTGGATATACTTTACCTAATATTATTTAGTATTGATATATTTAATACACAATTTATATATCACCATCTATAGAATATATCATATATTATATTTTATATATTAATAAAATTAAGAATATGTTAATGAACTTTTAAATTAAATATTTTTAATCTTAATTTCAGTTTGTTTAAGTAACTAATACATTTTCTATTAAATTTGATGAACTTGAATGAACTTCAAAACTATCTAACTGCAAATCATTCATAAATATATTTAACTATTAAGGATTCCTATTTAAAATATTCTAAGACAATTATTTTTCCTATAGTTGAAAACATGTACAAACTAACTCACTAGTCAATTATTTTTAGTTAATTTAAAATTTGAGAATATTCTGTAATTATCTACAAAATTTGCAATCTGTTTTTTTTAACTCAAATTCTCCAATTCATAAAAATTTTATTTTTTTTACTCTAAAATATTATTAATTTTTAAAACATGTATAGCTAATACTTATACATAAAAAAAAATTAAAGATATTAATAAATATTTTTTAAAAAAATTAATTCCTATCTATATTAAAATTATAAGAGTATTTATTGTTAAATGAAATCTACGGAATGGACCTAAGAAACGTGGCTCGAAATAAGTTCTGTGTTGGATCCATGGTTCGAACTCGAGACACATTTCTTAATGGGCATGTAATTCAAATCCAAAAGTTTCATCTGTTTTGAAAATTATTTTGAAGAGAAAAAGGGTATGAAAGAAGTCAAGAAACCATGAAAGCAAAAGGGAGAAGAAGAGTTTACCAGGTAATAATGGAGGGACCTCTAGAGAACGATTGTTGCTCGGTCTACCATGGATTCTTCAACATTCCTTACTAAGCCAATTACTCTCACTGGTTTTGCGGTGCACATCTTTTTCCCTTCCATTTTTTTTGTTTTTTTTATTTTGTCTTCTTATTGGATTAGTTTTAAGCAAAACCATTTTGCATTATCATATGCTATTTAAGGAAAAGAGTAGCAGGCTGAAATATGCCTTTTTTAAATAGAGTTTGTTGTTTTTGCTTCTTGCCATAACAATTCTACAAATAAGAAAATCTATATTTTGTGGCACATTCTTTAATTTGTGATTGTTTGGTGGTCCTGATGAATTTAATCATGGTAGAGATATCATATGCCAATATCAGGTTAACATATTAACAAAAAAAAAATTCTTTTTATTTCTTTTTATTTCCAAAGATTTGCAAATAAAAGAAAAAAAATTTAAAATTTTTTAGGTTAATGCGAGGGAGATTAGTTAGTCTCTTTTCAACTTCCTTTTTTATAAAAAAGTAAGATTAAGACTGTAAAAAGAACATCTAACTCGAGAAAACAAAGTACAATTGTAGCTCATTCTTCCTTCTTTTTGCCTTTATTTATTGGTAGTTTAATGGTGTGATTTTTTATATGAGTATTTTCTTATTTTACTTGCAAAAAAATGGATTGTTTGAGAATTTTTTCTAGGATTCTTATCATAGCCTGATGACTTTGATTTATACTAATAAAAGATGCATTAAAAATTTAAAAATCTAAGCACATTGATAACTTAAACTTTCATATTTCAATTTAAAGAAGTAAAATTCTTACAAATTTAAATATAGTGAATTTTTAATTCAATTTCACTAGCGATTTTCATATCCTTGGATGCCAATATATACCTAATTATTATAATTTGATTTTGCTTTTTCCAGTTATATATTCTTTTAACCAGTCTTAATCTTACTTTTCTACCAAAAAAAAATCGAAAAGAGAATAAGTAAGTTCCCTTACCTTAATATGAAATTTTAGAAAGTTTTTTTTTATTTATAAATATTTAGAAGCAAAAAAAAAATTGTTTTATTTTGTTAATATGTTAATATAATATTGACATATGACATATCTTTCATGATCAAATTCATCAGAATCACCAAACAATCACAAATTGAGGATGTATCACAAAATACAAGTTTACTTGTTTGTGGAATTATTATGGCAAGAAGCAAAACAACAAACTCTGTTTGGAAAAGATATATTTTAATCTGCTGTTTTTTTTTTCTTAAGTAGCATATGATATTGCAAAATGGTTTTGCTTAAACTATTAATACATTGACAGCTCACCCAAACCCAGTGAAAAGACAAAGTGCAAGAAGTAAAAAGAAAGGAAGGGAAAAAGATGTGCACCACAAAGCCAGTGAGAGCAATTGGCTTAATAAGGAAGGTTGAAGAATCCATGACAAACCGAGCAACAATCATTCTCTGCAGGTCCTTCCATTATTACCTATTAAACTCTCTTTTTCCCTTTTGCTTTTTTAGTTTCTTGACTTCTTTCAAGACCCTTTTTTCTTTAAAATAATTCAAAACTGATGAGACTTTTGGATTTGGATTACACACTCATTTAGAAATGTGTCATGAGTTTAAACCATGGACCCAACCTATAAACATAAATTCAATTACTATATTTGTTAATTAATTAGGGCTTTTAAAAAGCTTGAGTCAATCTCACTCCAACTCAAACTTAAAATAATAGGAGCTCCTACAAAAGTCTCATATTTTACTCATATATAAACTCTTAAGATGTCATATCTTTTATAAGAATTCACCAATCATATGTTAAATAAATATTTCATTCTCAAGTTTCTCAATGCATGTTCTATGAGTTACATGCAATAGATACATGACAATACATGCTCTTAAAATATCCCTTGCAAGATGTATGTGATATACCTCCACATAGGACATGAAGCTAGTAACCTACCATTATTTATAATTATGTGACGAATTATGATTTTTCCATTAAATTAACAAAACAAAACAAAATCCTATGTGCAAATCTACAAGAAAATTTTTTAATATGCTATTATTGTAATGAATTATCTCTATTAGTGGTGAGATCAAAACATGCATTCTCATAAAAAACATACATAACTAGATGCATTCAGAAATTCAAAATAACATTTATACATCAACAAAAAGTCCACTCTCTATTAGAATGCATGTGACTCAAGTAATGTTTTTGAAGAAAAAGATAAATTTTCAAAAGTTACCTGTGTTTTTGC